TGTGTGTGTGTGTGTGTGTGTGTGTGTGTGTGTGTGTGTGTGTGTGTAATATTTATTTTGAATATAGGAAGAAAAGATCAAAGAGGTTATTATATTATTATGAGTTATTGTAAGAATCTTTGGAGGATGTGAGAAGATGAGATCTGGAAGGCTACAAGTCGTTTCAGGTGCGGAACGATTTCTTTTTCTTTCTTTTGACTTCCATGATAGTTTAGTGGGTGAGCGCTTCATACATTTGTTTGGTTGAACATTAATCTTTAATGAATATTTTAGCATTATTTTTCACATATGTTCTCAGAAATGGCTTTCTGCCTTTTTATTTTCCTCAGATGCAGAACTAGCCAACCCTAAAGCCATTAGATAGGGCAGATCAAGGTAGGTTTCTGCCCCAGGGAGATGGGCACCAGCGGCCCAATGTGGGTGTCAGGCCTGGGACCGCTCAGAGGGTATCTGTGTAGGCGGGCGGCTGGAGCAGAACCAGTCAGATACGGAGAATGCCCAGTGCAGGGGCAGGAAACAGCGCCCAGGGCAAGTTGCTCTGAGGACAAGGAGAAAAGCATCCACCTGAGGTGGGGGACAAAGGGGACAACCTGGCACAGGATGAGCTCGTGTGAGGAAGGTGTTCATGTAGAAGAGCAGCCTAGGGAAGAAGCTGAGCTCTGGACGGAAAGTTCTTCACGTCAGAGGAGGAGTGTGGTAGCTGAAGGAGGGTGCCTGTCAGGGTGTGTGGGGGAGAGCAGGACCAGGAAATGCAATCGAACCTCAGCAAGGTCCAAAGGCTGTGCAGGCAGGTGTGGAGTGACAGAGCCCAAGAAGACTGAGAATGTATGGCTGCCAAGATGGCCCACTGTGAGGAACAACGGCCAAGTACATGCTGAGGACTTTCCCAGAGCAGGGTGTCATGAACTAAGCTAAGCAGACCAAAAAGGGTGCTGATTTCCAGGGATGGTCTAATGAGGCCTTGAAACCCTAATCGAATGAGCTGGTCATCTATAGGGAGTATGTCCCAGGGTAGAGTCAGTGGTATTTTCTCATGCACATGCATACACACACATTTATATGTGATATATAAATATATATATATATTTTATATTATATATAAATATAAATATATATATATATATATATTTGAAATTAAAAAGAAAGTAATAATACTTATTGATTGTCACAATTATTCATTCCACAAGAGGACTACACTTTGTCCTTTGATTTCTGGAACCTGTGGAAGGAATGGGTAGCTCTGCCTCACCAACTTTGGCCAATGAAGTGTCAGCAGATGTAAACTAAGCATTGGGAGATTTGTTTGCCACTCTGAATACATCCCTAGCTGACTGCCAAAACATTGGTACCAGAGTGACAGATAATTTTAGTGAGCAGGTGAATTTGCAAGCACAGAATCTTTGAATAATTCAGTAAGATTCTTAAAAAGCTGAAGATTATTGAAATGAATCTTCA